GAGATAGTGGCCCACCCAGGCCTAGTCTTTTAACAAAACGCAAATGACCGGAGCATCTCAGGTCAGCGCCGGTGCCAAGAATGAGTATCTTAATCGTGATCACATGCCAAACAATTTCATTATGCAAGATTATGCCGATTTCGGTGAAAAAGTGATTTCGCTAAATAGCACGTTTAACCAAAATCGGCATAAAATTGGTTGCGCAATTATTCATAATGACATCGAGAACCCCTTAAAGGCGGAGGTTGAGCAGAAAAATCCTGTTTTTGGGGTTTTAGTAGTTACATGGTGCTAAAATTAGACCAAATGAGGCCTCGTAATGATGGGTGTGTTGCTGTGGTCCACCTTTCGTGAGCTGGTATATAAAAAATTGAAGCCGTTCACAATACGAAACACTTTGTGGTTGTGAGGGCATACTGGCCTTATAAGGCATCAGTTAACGGTGATAGCCTTTAGATTTGAGCAAAGAAGAGAGCAAAAAAAGCCGCACCTTTAGTTTCCATTCTGATCCGGCTCGACAATAAGATCAACCCCAGCATAGCGACCAACTACAGTCTTGTTCGCCGCGGATGCTGAGGCATGTCAGTGGGGTCGGATCTGGCGTGCCGAGAGTTGTTGGAGTGGAGCAAGGGACAACAGCTGGTGAAAAACGAGCTGGTGCCACCCTAAATTCAGTCCACCTGACACGCTCCGGCCTCCGCAGCGAACAATACCGTACATATGCAGAATATTCCTCATTTAAAATTTATGCTTACCGAGAGGCCCATAAGGTCTTGAAGCAGCCTATTAAGAACATGTCAATGTTAAACTTTTCACAGAATACCAGTAAATACGATACCCTGTAATTCTTCACGGAAAAATAGACTGCCAACGGTCGGTGCACATTTGGAGATACGCTCGCAAATAAGGCACATATAAAAATTTATTGGCAGTTCACACTATTTTAGACTGCAGAAGTATCGACGAGGTATCTTAGGAAACGGAAATAAGGAACCTTCTCACACTGAATGAGAGACTTAAGACTCCTTACAAAGTTCCTTGAATAGGAAAGAATGGAACTCTCATCTGAAAAAGGTTAGCTTCCAGAGGTTGAGGTTCCGGAAGGTGCTTTCAGAGATAATGGAAGCAAATCCAATGTATAATATCCAATGATTAGCATCACTGGATAACGGATTTGCTTCCATTATTTCTGGTCCATTACCTGATATTCCCTGGTTCAAGGTACCTCAACACATTCCGAGGGTGCCCCGTTTATTTTGCTATACATGGCTTTGCAACTGTAATGTTGTGAAGAGGACTGCATGGCTAGCAGTATTTACATGGTCTCTTAAACAGTGTTCAGACTTTATGTTGGTAGCGACTCGTGCGCGCGATTGTGGTCGCGCCTAGGGGCAGTCGCGCGGTCGGAGTAATCGCGCGACATCCGTGCGATGGAAGCAGTCGCGTTCCAATGATAATAGCGGGTGGACCACTCCAACTTCGGCGCTATTCTCATTGATTCGGCCTCCTCCTTTGCGAATAAAGTTTCTGATATTAACATCCAGGTGTTTCGTTCTCAAGATCAAGGGAAACTGAATCAAACATAAAAGAGATGAAGATGACTGGAGATGAATAGCTGAGAAAATTTTGAGATGCGTCATTCACGACTGGGATTGCTTGTAGCGCGATTAAAGTGGTCACGCATACGAATCACTTCCATCAAGAGGTCTAAACTCAGAATTACGTTGTCTTTCCTCGCCCTCGGTGCGTCCATAAGCTATATCTATTCTGAGTTGTCAACCGTTATTTTCCGCTTATTCAGATCAATTAAAATTAGCTTTCCGGGAGGAACGCCCACAACCCTTTTTCTATTTACCATCTCCACCGTTTCGAAACTGGATGTGAGTTGTGCTCAACCAGGCTGCTTTCATATGTTTTCTGACAGGTATCCATTTCAAGAACTTTGCTTGGAGTACTAAAATGCGCCACCCCGTTTGTGACCACCAACGAAGGAAATTCATGCAGAACATCGCCTTTTCGCCAACGGTGGGATTTGATTTGGAAGGTATGAGCTTCCAGTTGAAGTGCTTTGATACGGTGAAGTAGTGCTTTGAGCGATTTCCGCCTGAAATGAGTGAATTGAATTCGTTTCTGCGTTGGTTATACAACGTGGTGACAGTGAAGGTGAAGATCACGCCATATCTGCTGGCTCTTTCCCCTTACTCACCCTATACGTTGGAGAGCGTGGAACAATAAATATGAAATGCTCCTTCGGTCTTGTTGGGCTCGGCAAATGCTCAGCTTTTGGCAGTGGTGAGGAGAACACCCTGAAATCCTCGTTTGATTCTGAAAATTACTATGAGCTTATTTCCGCTACGAGATTACCTGGAGACCGGGGTTTTCGATGCTGTACTTCTAGGCTCTTCAGCAGCTATAGTATTACCACTACGAACTACCTAAACTAGAGAAAACGTGTTTGGCAAAATCCGAAAATTGTAGGGAGAATACTGAACTAAATTGTGAACAGAAAATTCAGACCAACACTAAAAAGGGAAGTACTACTATGGACTGAAAGATGGTCACCGCGGACTACAGTCTTGCTCGCTGCGGATGCTGATTGCGTCAGGGAAACGGATTTGGCGTTCTGTTCTCAAGCAATTGTTGAAGTGAGCAAGCATTAGTGGGCGAAAAATGACCTGCCGCCGCGTCTAACCCAACACCGCCGGACTCGGACTCGCCTAAGCATTGCAGCGAACAAGACGTCACCCGTAAGACAAGAAAGATTCCGCAGTCTGAGAAATCGCCGCCACTGTAAATCGCGAGCTCGGTTTGCTTTTCCAAGCTCCAGGTTTTTTAGCTGCCATATTATGAGGGACTGCGATTTTGGATGGAATCGGGATGCGTGACGGTCCCCAAAGTGGATGAATCGACGAAGCGGTGCTGTAACGCCACTGGTTGAAAAGCATTGAGTCTTACTGCCAGCGCAATAGAGGAGAATTAGGGCCTCGCACTGACCCATCACAATGGGAGGGGACTAAAGCTCCACACTCTCCCATTACCTTTCTACGAATGGCGCTGAAGCTGCTGACCCACCCCCTGGCCAAAATGCGCGCACTGCTTTCGAGAGTCAACAAGAAAAAAAGAGAACGGGAGAAAGATCTCATGCCTTAATAGTAGCTCGCTTCGGTTTGACTGGTGTATCGTCTTCCTTTTTGCAACATTTGAGGAACCTGCGGAGACGCTTATAGTTCTGAAAGGATTTCGAATCACACAAGCAGGCACTACAGAACATACAATATTACATTTTATACCACAACTTGAGTGGCTTATCGTGGTTCAGTAGTGAAGAAAGAAGCAGGAAACAATTATGCGAAATGCTCTGTGTATAACTCCCTGCCAAACAAGCTTCTTCATGCATGAGGTGAAGAGAGGGCATGGTCAGACGAGTTCCCACTATTCATCACCTCTGTCCCCTTACCATCTCGCTCTCACCATTGGAAATGTCGAGAGCTAACAGTGGAACTGCCGCTCCAACAGGAGCATTCAGAAAAGAAAGTTGGGTGTTGCGGTGGGCAGCGAGCGGGGCGTTGCCTTTCTCACATATTTTCGAGTTGCGAAACTTGTCTAGGAAAAGAATCTGAAATTGAATGAATGAAGTATGCCTTTCAGCTCGATAAACTCTCTCCTTGAGAAGTCATTATCTATTACACTTCCTGTATATGATCACTTTTTACGAGAAATATTCTACAAAAAGGCTCATCAGAGATCTTATTCTTTTCCATGCATTCGAGAGCCATAAAAAATTATTCCTCACGCTAAGAATTCTAATAAAAACTCGATAAACATCTTACGGTTGCCAACAAAATGAGAAGTCCTATCAATCCGAGTCCCAATACTCCGAGCACAATAAACACGTCGACAAGATCGTCATCCATCTGCAAAAATATTTGTGTATAATCTTTATTCACCGATGCTCATACCAATACTTGAAAGGTGGATGAGGTTATACTTCACAATAAAATTCGAAGGAACTGCTTTTTTTTCTTCTCTGCCAATTTAGA